ACAGATGGATTAGTTCAAAAGGGGGAATCCATGTTGTTGAGTTTGTGCTTGTCTTATTCTATTCTGGGTTCTCTATTGCTGTGAATAGATACCATGACCATGGCAACTCTTATAAAGAAGAAATTTAACTGGGGTGTCAGCTTACACTTTCAGGGGCTCAGTGATTATCATCATGATGGGGAGGATGGCATTGTGCAGGCAGAGGTGGTGCTGGAGCTGAGAGTGCTACATCTTGAAAGCAACAGGAAGTCAACTATCACACTGAGGGAAGTTTGAGCAATAGAAACCTCAAATCCCGCCCCAACAGTGACACACTTCCTTCAAGAAGGCCACACCTCCTCGTAGTGCCACTCCCTTTGGAGGCCATTTTCTTTCAAACCACCACAACTTCTATTCCTGCCATCGTGGACAGTTTGGGCACAGATCCATTAAACACAGTGTGTGGAAAGATAAAGAATGATGGCCACAGGACATCTTGTCTACCTCTATTACAAGGCCTCTCCCAGGGTATCTGTGCTTGGTAAGTATTCATGCTAGTTCCTTTGTGCTCATTTTTCAAACATCCATTCTTCAAGTATCCCTTCATCAAGCTCCCTTGTCATGTCTTTCAAACATGTTCTTTTCAAGTTTCTGACTAATGACTAAAGATCTGCCTCTCACAGTAAATGCAGCCCTGTGTCACAGGCCACCTCAACTTCCTGGCCATAGTGACAGCAAGATACTCTGCTCAAGGTCCTAATGTCTTAATGTCTAGGATTTGTCTTGACTATTCCTCTTCAGCAGCATCCCCCAAGTGAATGTGCTTGTGCTAGCAAAGATAGAGATCCTTTTATGAATGAAGTTCAAACTATCATTCTTCCGTCTCTGTGTTATATGGAGCTCCCCATACAACTGTTAAGTGAAAGGTAAGGAAAAGACCACAAGGCAGCAAAAGTAGATGCTACAGCCAGTAGGTGCCAGAACGATGTAGGCATTCATGTAAAACCTTGTGTCTTCTGGACTCACTCGAGTCTGAACTTACAAATAATTTCCATTTGATGACGGACAGCTGTTGTACATGTCCAGCTTTGGCACAACATTTAATGTATTGCCCAAACAACTATGGTTCATGATGGGCAGTGACAGTAACCATTTAGAATCCCATATTAATCATTCCATTTCTAGCAGGGCACAATAGAGCAAGATATGAACTTCTCAAAAGAAGAATAAGGTTCTATCAGTAGAAATAAACATAGTTGCAAGCTCAGATATTTGTTCAATAAATTTCCTGTTAAGTCTTCCTTAAAGAAGCCATGCAACATTCTTAACCACTGACACTTTGGGTGCCACTGGGCATAATAGAGTGGCCTAGTGACTCACAAAACTCCTGCAGAGCCTTCTTCTGACCCGGGCAATTCCCAGAAGCAGCAGTCAGGTGTGTAGATGGTGTAGATGAGCCAGACTAGTGCTTATGAGCAGGCTTTCTGTTGTCTCCAACATATTGGATTTCAGTCTACCTTAACACTGGAGGACCATACAGTCAAGGTCGGCACAGCAGTGGCCCACTTCCCTGTACGAGAGTTTTGCCTTGGTCATTTTTCTTGTCACTGTATAAAGTAGTAAAATAGCCAACCAAATACATTTGAGGGAAGAAGTGTTCATTTTAGCACATGGTTTACAGCAACACAGTTGTCACAGCAGGGAAGGCACTTGTCTTGTATGTTATTATGAGTTAAAATACACTGTCTCCAAATTCAGATGCTAAAGCCTTTGATGACTTTGGTGTTGGTACCCTAGCACAGAGCTGTCTTTGAAAACAAGATCTATAAGGTAATTAAGTTGAAATTAGGTTGTTAAGGTAGACTGAAATCCAATATGATGGCGTTCTAATAAAAGGGAAATCTATACACAAATAGGGAAAATGTGAAGATGAAGAGAAATGAGATATTTACATATCAAGGAGAGAGGCTTGGGACAAATCATTCTCTTACAGTGCTTAGGAATAAATCAACCCTGCTAACACAGTGGTCTTGGACTTCAAGCCTCTAGAACAATGGGTCTCAACCTGTGCATTGTAACTTCCTTGTGGGGGCCAGAACAACCCTTTCACAGGGGTCACATACCGGATATTTACAATTCTTAACACTAGCAAAATTACAGTTGTGAAGTAGCAGGAAAATAACTTTATGGTTGGAGGTCACCACAACATGAGGAAGTGTACTAAGGGGCCGCAGCAGTAGGAAGGTTGAGAATCACTGCCCTAGAATAAGAAAGGCAAATTTCTGGTGCGTAAGCCACCCAGTCGGTGAGACTTTGTTACAGAAACTCTAACAACTAATATGTGCAAAAGAGAATACTAAATCAATAAGGACAGGAATGGTTGTCATTTTGCTTATTGATACACTGTAAACACTTAGTACACCATCTGGCAGGTAGCAGATTTCCAGTAAACATTGACTAAGGGAACTTACAAAGCAAATTAGTAAGAGTGCACATTAGACAAATCTGTTAAGTACCGACAATGCTGTCGTGATAAAGGCTCACCACCACTATAAGCCCCTAAAGCTGGATTGCTGATGTCTTACCACATACTGTGACGTAACAGATCTGCCACACCCCAAATGAACAAATCCCCCAGTGCTGACTCACATCCTAGAGCAATTTCCTGAGAAAAAGAAGAGACAAAAAAGACCTACTGTGGTGCAGTAAATTAGCATTACCTCACCCAGAGAAATACATCAGATGTGCCACCCTGGACAGAATGGCACAAATTTGATGCTTGTTATTCCTGTTTCTGCCAGGCATCTGATCGGCCGGCAGCATTAAAGGAAGCAAGTGCAGCCTGGTCAGCAGTATAGAGTTCTCCATAACTAAGAACTTCCTGTTCCTATTGAAGCATTTCTTATGAGCACAGGAAAAAAGACTGATTAAATTCCATTAGGACTCATTCAGTTATGGATTCATAGCACATCTTTCAACCACACCTCTGTGTCTTAATGTTATCATTATCATTGTGATCAATCAGTATTTAATTAGGTGGCCTGAATATGCTAACCAAACACCAGCAACATAAAAGAAAACGCAATAAAAATGTATATTCTGCTTTTTAGCTACAAATGCTATTTTCATTTTTCTTTTGTGGAATCTGAGAGAGGAGGAGGAGGAGACAAGCACAATCTGAGAGTGAATCGGGATGACTGTCAGCTCATCTATTAAAAAAGAAAATAAAACTCTATAGTTGCACATAGGAGTAAATGGGAGAAAGGAGGCATGTGAACTGGGGTGTGGCTTAAGATCAGGGGTTGAGGAAGCTAGCATTAACCGGTGCTTCACAAATGACAATAGATACCAATCATATACTAATGAAAGGGCCTCAAGTTCCTCTTGCCAGAGATTAGAATTTGTCTCCATTTTAGCAAGTAGGAACTTTCTTCAAGCCCCTGATGGAATGGGAATTTGTCTAAATGCCTGACTTTGGGAAGAAAAGTTACCATGGCAGGCTTAATAAAAACCAGCTAAAAAGTAGGCCCAAGTTTTAGTTTACTGGCAGGTAGCACCTGGCTCCAGGAAAAGCCATAAACTGATATCATCCAGGGAGGGCCAACATCTACGGGGATGTACCTGACATTCCCAAACATCCCAACCATTAGATAAGACCACCAGATGTCCCTGAGTTTAGAACACACCTATTCCCCTTTCACCAAGACACCCCCAGACAAATAAGGGTTTTGAACCCAGTAAATCCCCTCACCCCCAACTTCTACCATGATTTAAAAAAAAAAACCTACTCCAACCAGGTTGGGCACTCTCTGCTCTCTGCTCTCAACAGACGGAGAGTCCAAGTTCCAGCTTGAATAATGACTCTTTGCTTTTGCGTATGAGTACGGACTCCATGGTGATTTTGGTGGGACCTCATGAGCTGGGCATAACATTTGGGGGCTCCCTGGGATTTCCAAACTCACAGGGACCACTGCCTGTTGGAGCCTTCGGTCAGTTTTCTGTGTTTACTTTCACTTCGTGTCTTTCAGTTTTGGGTGTCCTTTCGTAAGCAGGTCAGAGTTTGTAGTAGCCTGTCTACACGGATGCTCAAGAGACGACAGGTAGAGTACCTGGGAGACAGCTCAGGACTCTTTTGGGTGGGATTATATCCCATTTGTTTTTTTGTTTGTTTGTTTGTTTGTTTTTTGTTTTTTTGGGGTTTTTTTGTTTGTTTGTTTTTACGAGACAGGGTTTCTCTGTTTTGGAGGCTGTCAGTCCAGCCTGGTCTCGAACTCACAGAGATCCGCCTGCCTCTGCCTCCCGAGTGCTGGGATTAAAGGCGTGCGCCACCAATGCCCGGCTGTACATCCCATTTGTTAATTCATATAGATGATCAAGCCCCTCTCATGTTACGATTTTGTCTCCAAGCATCAGGAGAGACATTTGTTGTCTTGTATGTTGTTGTACTATTTGTTCTCTTTTTTATTCTGTATGAACATGTGAACAGTGTGTTCATAGTATGCTTGCTTTATGCCTGGTACGTGTGCTGGTTTTAAAATCTGTAAGGCTCGTGACTCCAGAAAGAAACTGTTCTGGAGAACATCACATAGTCTGACACAGGTTTCCATCTGCCTGAACATTTTCTCAGACCCACTTGTCCCTGGTTCCCAAGACCCCCAACATGTGAGCATTTTGAAATCTCAGTCGATGTGTGAGCGCTCTTTGTCTTGGTCTGTCATTTTGTTCTGTCTGTCACTGTTCTGTTCTGTGTTCTGTGTTTCTTTGTCGGGATAGTTGTCTTGTTTCTATTTGTGTATACTAACCTCCTTTATTTTCCTGAAAGGGATGAGGCAAATAACCTCTACCCCCCTCGAGAATTACATTGAAAAGAGACCACATACCTCTGTTGTTCTCAGCCTGTAGTCCGAGGACAATGTGGGCAGGCTGCGGCAGGCTTGCCCTGGCATGCCATACAAGCATGGGCATGGCTGTGGGGCTCATGTGGCTGGGCAGCTGGGATATGCAGTCTTGCTGTTCAGTGTTACAGCAGAGCTGCCAGTCACAGCTTGCAAGGGGCAGGTGTGCCCCAATAGGATTTCAAACGCTGAACAGAGAGTCTGGGGCTAATTACTATAACCAGAGAGGCTCACAATCATCTGCCACCATGCTGGTGGATGGGGTTCCAGTGACCTGCCCTGGGGACTGCTCACCTCCGACTTCTGTCCAAACCTGACTGAGGTTTGGCTCTTGGTGACTGTGTCGTGATGCTGTAGTGCTGCCTTGGTCATTCAGATCCAAGAGGTTATAAATATCTGTCTTCATTTAAAGGGGTCGGGTATAAATTCTTATTGGTTAGGGTGAGAAAAACAAACTACTGTTAGTCTCAGATGCTTCACAATGGTACAGGTTGTTATGTGTTGATGCAAATTTAGAGAATTTTTGTTATGGTATAGGCATGTTTCTGTTCTTGTTTAATATATTGTGGCCATAAAATATATTCTAGACACTGAGGAAAACCATAAGAAAGACGTTGGTGAAAGTTTTAGGTTGTCTGGGAATTCGAGAGAGAGGGCAGGAAAAAGAGGAATTTGTCTGAAGTAAAAATGCCTGAGGGATCAGAGGAATGGACTGAAGTTATGTAGAAGGTTGTAGAAGGCCAGAGGGGATGTGAACTATGTTTGCTATGGTTTCTCATATCTGCAAATACTAAATTTGAAAAGAAACCATAAAATAAGCTAGAAATTTGACTATATTAGGTTAATTCTGATTGGAAAGTTTTGTTTGTCTTGTTGAGAAGTTTGTCTATTTCTGGAGAAAGTTGTGTATGCCTATTTTGTTAGAAAGTTTTGTCTGTGTTTTCTCCTTTAACCTCTCTGAGATTGGCTGCATATGACATTTGAAATGTTTAAGTTTGCTGCAATGAACTGTGACCATTCCTAACAGCAATCTCTGGAAGTCTCCAAAAAGATGATGGGGTCCCACAAAGACGATGTCTACCTGGATGTTGGTAAATCCACTAAGCTAACAAACTCCATCCAAAGAGTGTTCAGAGCAGTTTGGACTACAAACTGCTCTGAACAATTTCAAGGCAGTTAGCTAAGATGGTCCATCCTCATAGACTACTCACTCCAGGACTTCAGATAAGCTTTGTATTTGCCCACCACACTGAGATGAACCCCAAAGACTTGATCGTTATCTCCATTTTCTCAGGGTGCCCTAAAGATACCATCACCCCAGACAACACAACGTCCACATTCCCAAAAGGTGGGGTAGATGGTTTTGGTCAGTAGGTGGGTTATGGATGTCTATCATTGTTTAAGGAGTTGCTTACAAGTTGTTATTGGTCATGGTCAGGGAAGAAATTAAGCAAGGGAGGTTGGATTCAAGGATCTCTTCCTGAAAGAAAAAAAAAGACGTATAGGAATGATAGGGAAAAAAAGACAGGTTTTGAATCTAAACTTAAAAGCAACTATTCATCTCAAATATTTTACATTGGTATGAATTCTTGCATATTGATACAAATTTAAGGTTATTTTTGTTAGAACATATTTTATATATGTTTCTACTCTTGTTTAAGATATTTTTATATTGATATAAATTTAAGGTTATTTTTGTTATACTGTATTATATGTTTCTATGTCTTGTTTAATGTATTATACCTATGCAGCTCATTGAAAAATGCCAAGTTCTAGTCCTTGAAAGCTATTTATGATAATACAGGTTAGTAGTTAGTCATCTATAACAATCCAACTTACAGTCATGTTAGTTATATTTTCAAGGTCAATCAATCTATTTGTTTTAAATAGACAAAAGTTTCCCAAACTCATCAGAGATTTACAGAATATGTCATTTCATTGTTTTATTTTTTAAGTTTTTAAATTTCGTATTTAAATTAGAAACAAGCTTGCTTCACAAGTCAATCTCAGGTCTCTCTCCCTCCCCTCCTTCCCTGCCTGCCACCAACCCCCCAACCCCCCAACCAATCCCCACTCGACTCTCCAGGGAGGGTGAGGGGACTATCCAAAGTCTGTCAAATCCAGGGCAGGGCCTAGGCCCTCTCCCATGTGTCCAGGCTGAGAGAGCATCCCTCCATGTGGAATAGGTTCCCAAAGTCCATTAGGATATCAGGGATAAATACTGATCTAGTACTCAAGGCCCCAAAGATTGCTGAGGCCTCCTCACTGACACCCACGTTCAGGGGTTCTGGATCAGTCTCATGCTGGCCTCTCAGCCATCAATCTGGGGTCCATGAGCTCCCCCTTGTTCAGGTCAGCTGTTTCTGTGGGTTTCACCTGCCTGGTGATGACCCCTTTGCTCATCACTCCTCCATCTTTGCAACTGGTTTCCAGGAGTTCAGTTCAATGTTTAGCTATGGGTGTCTGCTTCTGCTTCCATCAGTCAATGGATGAAGGCTCTAGGATGGCATACAAGAGGGTTGTCAATCTCATTATCGGGGAAGGGCATTTAAGGTAATTTCTCCACTATTGCTGAGAATGCCAGTTGGTGTCATCCTTGTAGATCTCTAGAAATCTCATTAGTGCAAGATCTCTCCTCAAACCTATAATGACTCTCTCTATTATGGTGTCTCTCATCCTGCTCTCCTCTATTCTTCCCCTAATATAGCCAGAACCTGGAAGCAACCTAGATGCCCCTCAACTGAAGAGTGGATAGAGAAAATGTGGTACATTTACACAATGGAGTACTACTCAGAAGAAAAACAACAACAAAAAAAATGGAATCTTGAAATTTGCAGGCAAATGGATGGTACTGGAAGAAACCATCCTGAGGGACGTAACCCAGTCACAAAAAGACAAACATGATATGTACTCACTCATATATGGATTTTAGACATGAAGCAGGGGAGTGCCAGCATACAATTCCACCACCAGAGAGTCTGGGAAATAGGGAGGACCCTAAGAGAGATATGCATGGTACCCCAGAGAAGGGGAATGGGACAAGATCTCCTGAGTGGACTGGGAGCATGTGGGGAGGGGACAGGGAGCTGGAGGAAAGTGAGGGGGAGAAGAGAAGGGGAGAGGAGGACATGGGGACATTTTAATGTTTTAATAACAAGGCTTTTCATGACAGTAAGACATGTCTGTTCCTGGCAGCACCAATTTACTCCAAAAGAGGATGACAGGCATTGAAAAACCTCCAAACAGTTTGTTTTCACTTGTGGCACAGTCACTGGGCAAAGAAACTGTCCTTGCCTCTACTGCTGACATATGCTGTCCAAATTGGACGACCAGGACACAAAAGAAGGCAACTGCTGAATCTTTGCTATGACAAGGTTAGACAGTCCTTCAAAACTCCTGCTTCACAGAAAAGTCTGTCAAATATTCTAGGCCTGTAGGCCAAAGGTGGATGTCCCAACATTGCAGAGGAACCTTGAGTATGTGATGACTAGGTTAGTGATAGCTTTGCCAGTTAACAACTTCCTCCCTACAAGGTTACAATCAACCACTTGGTAGTTCATTAGTCATATCTGCCTTGTTCACAGGCTCCATAGTAAAGGATAAAAACACAGAAAAAGATTTAAGATGTATAAATGCAAGTTGTAAATGTGTAAGTAAATGACTTAAGGCATGTGAAGATGCTTTGGATTTCTGTCCCCTTTCTATGCTGTTGTTGTACTGGGATTTCAGAGGTTCAGAGCTTTAGCACTGATAAACTGACAAGAGCAATGAGTACTCACTATCCAGTCATAAGCTCAAGATTTTAAACTTCCTTTGGTTGTCTTGTAAGAATAGACTCTAAGGTGTGTTTCATCAGGCTAAAACCAGGCTCTCTCGACATAGGGAAAATGTTCATTCCTTTTAACCCAAAGCCGCATGCAGTCTCTGCTGTGACACCAAGGTGTGAATCTGTTCCAGCTGTTTTACAGACACCTGCATGTTCCTGGGAAAAGAGTGCTGCTACTGTATCAACAAATCTGGCCTGATGTAAACTAATATCGAGTCATTCCTCAAACATCTCTGCTCCGTTCTTTCTAGCGGTCTTCGCTCTTCCCATGGCTAGCCCGGATCATAAGGCTGGTGGTACTAGTCTGTCTTTGTTTTCTCCTAGCACCGTGCCTTGTCCCCTTCCTCTAGGAACAGATCCATGAGGTCTCCAGAATGGCAGTTAACCAAATGCTTCTTTACCCATGCCTCCTGCTGAGCACTAACCCACCAACTCCCAACTCCCCCTACCCAAGTTGTCCCATGCCAACATGAAGCAGCCAAATTTGAATTGGTGCCGATTAACCCAAAAAGGTTGTGGTATTTGGTTGAGACCTCCAGCTTGCCCCTGCACTGTCTGGGCAGCCCCATTCCTGTGTCTCTCCAAACTCTGCCTGCACAGAGAGCCTCTGAACAAAGGGAAGGCACCAAAAAGTATAGTTCCACATTCTTGGCTGCTACTGCAGCTTCCTCCCCTGAAGCTGCCAGCAGCCCAAGTCCCCTCCTACAGCTCTCAGTTCTTGACCATGTGTGGGCACAGACCCAGCTTGTGGCATACATGTCATCACTCCTTACCTACAACCTATACAATCTCTTTGCTTTAGTTCAGATGGGTAGCCTCTCCAGCCTCAATCCCTGAGACTGGAGAATTCACCCAGGAGTTGCTTTACTCAAATAAACCTATTGTTATACCTTTTCAATTTGGCATGATCTGACTTAATGCATCTGCAGAGAAACTTACTATGGGAGCAGAAAACCTATTAAATACTGCTGTGAACCTGAGTAGACCTTAGGAACTTATAAATCTTAATTATCAAATATCAAGTATATGTTGCTTATCTAAATTTTCTAGAATTTTGGTGTTAACTTGGGTAAGAGTAGGCAAAGTTATCATGCTATATGGCTCCACAGTGGCAGGAATTTTGTCCAAAGAATATTTTGCTTACTTAGAGACGCTGCCATCATATACATTTTCATCCTTCACCAGAAGAAAGGGCACAAGGGAACTCCCATAACACATAGTGAGATTCATTAAAAACCAAAGTTAAAAGGTGCTGGAGAACTGTGATCTGAAGAGTTAAAATTCTGGAACTTTGTCAGTTAGCAATGGTTCGTGCCATAAAGGGCAGAGTAACCAAAATGACTGGATTATAAGGAAGGGCAGCTGGGGGGTAGGGAAGCCCAGGCCCTGGGCTGGAGAAGTTTAGGGCAGGGGGTGGGGTAGGCCAGCCATTCCCTGTAACAGGTCGGGACTGAAGGATTCTGGGAGAACCTGGCAACCAGGTCTGCTTTGATATGCTAGATAGGTACCTCAGTTGCCTGGAATTGAGATGTAACAATATACACATAATTAAAAATAAAACATTTTTTAAAATTCATCAAAATTATGAAAGGGCTGCAGAGATGGCTCAGCAGTTAAGAGTATTCGTATCCTTGCAGAGGACTGGGTTCAGTTCCCAGTACTCACATGGTGGTTTATCACCATCTATAACTCCAGGTCCAGGACATTTAACACCTTGTCCTGAGATCTGCAGGCACCAAAGCACACGTGTGGTACAGACACATCCAAAGCAAAACACTGACATATAAAAAAATGGGGGGGGGGTTCCAATAGGTTTGTTAGAAGTGATAAAATTGTAAGCAATTTTCTTTTCTACTTATTCATAACTTACCTAAGTTTCCATTTTTTTAAGGCTAAAGTTTGTAAAAAGAAGTTCTTAATTGCTCTAAATAATGAAAACCTGGAGTCAGATATTGAGGAAAATGCTGAGAGATCAGAGAGAAGAAGGAGCAAGCCAAAGCCACCTTTACCTCCTTAGCATCTCAGGGGACAAGAGAGCGAGTTCCTGTTTCTCCCTGCTTATATACTGTCTCCACCCAACCTTCTGACTTCCTGTCTGTCTGTACAGACCTCCAGACCTCAAGTGACAAGCTCCATCTTCTGATCTTCAGACAGGCTTTATTTGTACAAGCAAGATATCACCACATATCCCACTTTTTGTCTAAAAATGAAAAAGTTGTAACTAATATAAGAAAAACTATATGTAATAAGTGTATACAATATATACAGGTACTAAGTATATTAACAATGTCTAGTCCATTAGCATTTGACAAATTCAGAGAAAATACTCCATTATCTATTCTTTCTTGATTAGTCCAAAGTTTTATACCTAATTTACTTTCTATTCTAGTTTGCATCAAATTATCCTTTAATGTCTTTCAAAACTATTGCACTTACCACATCTTTAGTCAGTTTTTTGACTGAGTCTGGTAAACAAGGAAAACTGTAACTATGCTATCTAGTCTTCAACTCCCTCAGAGAACCGAGGAGGAAATAATATTAACCGAGTAAGCAGGAAGTACAAGCAAATGACTTCCAAAAAAAATGTGAGAAATGACAGACACAGCTGGCTGCCTGGACAGTCACCCAAGGTTGCTCTGCGACATTGGGGCTTCCATCTTTGACCTATAGGCCTAGCATCTATGACATATTTTTCTGTGAGGCAGGATTTTCTGAAGGACTAGACCACTTGGTCTTGACAAGGTTTGCAGTTACTCTTTTTGGTGTCCTGTTTGTCCAGTTTGGACGACACTCTGTCAGCAGTTGAAACAAGGGCACTTTCTTGCCCAGTGGCTTACCCTTGCCACAGAGAAAGCAAACCCCATCTTTCTTTGATGTCCTTCATCTTCTCCAACATAGATTGGTACTTCCAGGAGCAGACTTGTCTCATTGTCATAAAAAAGAACCTATGTTATTAAAACACCTTAAATGTCATATTCTGTATATCAAATGAAGTGTTTGAAGATGACCTGCCTTTCTAAAATAGCTGTTTGACCTTGTAAACATACCTAATGTGACTAAAAGTTTGATTGTAATAGCTAATTACTGAGCCACATTCCCTTATTATCCTATATAGTTGATGATAATAACTGATGGGGCATGTCCTTCTGTATGCTATAGAAATAAATACTTTGCATTGTATGGATTTTGGTTTATTGATACAAATTTTTTTGTTTTTTACAAGACAGGGTTTCTCTGTATTATTTTGGAGGCTGTCGGTCCAGCCTAGCCTCGAACTCACAGAGATCTGCCTGCCTCTGCCTCCCGAGTGCTGGGATTAAAGGCGTGCGCCACCACCGCCCTGCTTTATTGATACAAATTTAAGGTCAATTTTACTATACGTACATTTATATTCTTGTTTAGGTATTGTGTTTATACAGCTCTTTTAAAAATGTAATGTATAATTAAATACGGATTATAGATAGTGACCTATAATAGTCAAAACTTATAGTAATGTTAGTTAGATGTACAGAGATATGTTTCAAATGGATAGGTATCCTTCAAAACTTTTCAAAGATCTATAGAATATGGCATTTAAAATGGTTTATTAGGATTTTTCATGACAATAACCATTCCTAGCAACACCAATTACATCAGAGAGGAAGATAGGCATCAAAGAAACTTGTTAAGGAGTTTGCCTTCAATGTGACAAAAATGTCCTCACCTTCTGACAGTAAGCATGCTGTCCAAACTAGACAAGCAGGTTACAAAGGAAAGTGACTGCGGAACTTGTCAAGAGACAGGATGTTCCTTCTGGGTTCCTGCTTTACAGAAGAAAGCAACTGACAAACCTTGCCAGTACAAGACAGAACAAATTCCTACTTCATTAGAAAGTCTGCCAGACACTGTGGCCTATGGGCTGAAGATGGCTACCCCAATGTTACAGAGAAACTTTGGGTGACTGTCCAGGCAGCAAGATGTCTCTGTTAATTTTAGTTTATATATTATCTTTCTGAGGTCTTTGATGGAATTGAAGACAGGTAGTTATGGTTATTATTTTCATAAGTTATGATAAAAGATAAGTTACATGTATAACTTTAGACTCACAAAGAAAGAATATTTTCTTTAAATTTTGACAAATTTTAATGTACTAAATACTGTTAACTATAGCTCTTGCTTGATAACTGTTTTGTTATCTATAATTTTACTATGTTAAAGTTAAAACCTTCCTTTTTATTTAGTCAGAAAAGAGGAGATGATGGGGGATGTCTTTCTGTATTCTGTGAATATGTTTCTCTTATTAGTTGATAAACAAAGCTGTTTTGGCCACTGGGCAGGCAGGCAGGATGTAGCCAGGCAGGAAGTATAGGCAGGTTACCAGACTAGGAGAATTCTGGGAAGAGGAATGCAGAGAAGCAGTCATGAGGGAGACACCATGTAGTAGCTACCAGGTATTCACCAATAAGCCCAAGATCATGTGGAGATATATGGATTAATAGAAATGGGGCAATAATTAAGAGAGAGCTAGCCAGTAAGAAGCCTGAGCCATCAGCCAGACAGTTTATAATTCATATAAGCCTTTGTGTATTTGGGCCTCAATGGTTGTGGGTCTGGGTGGGACAGAAACGTCCACCTACACACAACACCTTTCCTCTGCTTCAGTGGTCCACAGCGTCACTGGGATCTAAACTCCCATCCTTATGACTGGGGAGCAAGCCATATCTCCAGTCCTCTTAGAAAATTCTAACGTCTAATCATTCTGGAAGTTTTAAAGGGAGATATTTGCGCCGTGTGTGTGTGTGTGCGCGCGCGCGTGCACAGTCATGTGGGTGTGCATCTGTGTGTTGCCTGAGTGCTTTGCATGTGTGTCTGGTCTTCTCAGAGGCCTCAAGAGAGCAGATGCATCCCTTGGAGGTGATGTTACAGGTGGCTGTGAGCTGCCCTGTGTGGGCGCTGGGAACTGAACTCTGAAAGAAAAGAAGTGCTCCTACCCACTGAGGCCCCTAAAATTTATTTTTAAAGTTTATTTAAACCAAGCATTCACAGAGAATTTGTGATTGCCAATATATAACAGTGTTACTGGCAAGTGTCCGTCAAAATATTTAACTCAGAATTGGAAACTCTCATCTATTCCCAAAAGTTTGTTCTTCATCTGGGGCTGAGAATTAATGCTAGAACTGATGCAATCTGAACTAAGTGCCGGCAAATGTTTACCCAAAGCTTCTGTCCCAAAGGGCGGTGCTTCAGAAATGACGCTGGCTGAGATTGCCTTGAGAGTTCTGTTTCATAGCAGAGCAGTGCAGACAAATACTCTCTTCCAGTAAAAAGCTGTGAGACCTATATACCTTATCACAATATGCAAGGTGGTTGAATTTCCTATTTGCTCTGCTTCCCTGAGAAGCACAGCAGATACAGGAGGTTCATGCCTCTGGGCCTTACTTATGGCAGAGTGGAGGAATAAATGAAGCTGTGGAGTTTATCAAGGATGACTCCAAGAGAACAGACCGTTAAACTACTATAGCCCTCTCCTTCTCTACAAAACAGCTGATCTATAAAGGTCTAATAATGTGATTATATGAGCTGTGACACCATCCCCAGGACTATAAACAGTTCTTTGCATGTATGTGACCTATTTTATGGGAAGTCAACTGGGGAGAGCTAAATCACAAGGTTTAAAAATCTAGAACCTTCACCCTCAAACAAAGGTTGTCTGGATCCCTCTCCACTGTTATGTGTTTCTGTTTTCTTCAGGACAACAGCTATAAGGAACATTTATCATTTCACAGCATCTGAAATTACACAACCAACACTGATTACACTGAAAAAAAGAAAAGTGTTTCCAAGAGGAAGATCTGGGCAATGATGAAATAGCTCTGTATCTTTCTAGCCATGGTCATAAGAATTCCCTGTGCGGAAAAATGGCATATTTATGTACTTATTCTGCCAGGGTTAGTTTCCTGTTTTGAGACTATACCTAAATATGACAACTACCGAAGTAACCTGGGTAGAGGATCCTTCTGACCTCTGTTTCCTGCGGTTCTGTGTTTATTCAAAATAAAATGATTTTAAAAGTTGATTTTGTGCACCTCAACATTTCCCCGAGAAGTTTGCATTAGGACCAACCAAAGAGAATAAAATGGCAGTGGTTTTTCGTGGTTTTTGTTCTGTTTTTTGGTCTAGAGAATAAAATGGCAGTGGGTTTTTGTGGGTTTTGTTCTGTTTTGGGGGTTTTCGAGATAGGGTTTCTCTGTAGCTTTAGAGCCTGTCCTGGAACTCGCTCTCCAGACCAGGCTGGACTCAAACTCACAGAACTCTTCCTGCCTCTGCCTCCCGAGAGCTGGGATTAAAGGCATGGTGTCAGTCACCTTGTAAGGTTTTCAGTCATGAACCCCAAAGGAGGCTACTGGAGGCTGGGGGTATTCTGGCAAAGACTCCTTCCACAGCCTGGACACTGTAAACATGTAATGTTAGAATCCAGGCCTTGCTCTCATGAACAAAAATACCGCATTCCCAACGTTGGCTCCTTGTCATCTTTCAGGGGACGCCCAAGGGCCACACCCTTATTTATAGACGCCTTCCTGGTTCTATTAGCCAAAGCGGTTCTCTGTGCTGTTGCTTCACAACACCCGTAGCTTGTTTATTTGTGGTATAATATAAACTCGAGATGGACTCCTTCCTCTTACACCACCTACACTGTGCCCCCAGGCTGGCCTCAGCACCCTGCTACACCTGGGCGCTCCTTCCTCCTCGCTGATGCCTGCGACCGCTGGAGGCTTCGGTCTAGAACCGCTCCTGGGCTCTGCCCTGTTCCGGAATCTTCAATGATCTTCCCTCCAGAAGCTGGGGCGAGACCTTGGCAGGGGGCCCTAAGCATTCCAGCCTCGGGGCCTTTCTCAGAGACTTTGCCTCGCAGACACTACCCCCCTTGGGCCACGCCCCCTCAGGCCACGCCCTTAGCGCGGGCTGGTAGGAGTGGGAGGGCGGGAAGGGGCGTGTCCTCTCCGTTCCCGGGCGCCTATTGGGAGGGTCCCCGGCGGGAGGCGGGGCTGCGCCCGGAGCTCGAGCCCCGCGGTAGGTAACGGCTTTCTGTGAGTCTCTGGCTTTGGCACTGACATGGTGAAGAGCGACTCCGACTCCAGCACTATGTCTGAGAAACGGCGTACTGAGCACGCCGCATCTCAGCGGCTCCCCGAGTCCTTCAGGGGTGAGTCCTCGTCCCTGGCACAGCCGCCCTGAGCCCGCTGACAGCCGGGTCCCCGAAAGGCGCGTCTCCCTGCACTGTGTGTGCACTTCTCAGAGCCGCGGCCTTCCCCTTTTCCCCTCGGGCTGGTGAAGGATGACTTCGGGGTGCTGGGGTGCAAACTGCATGACGGCCAAGAAGGCGCGCCCTTGGCAGTGGCGTGTATCCATGGCTCCTCGGGACCCTAGCAGGCAGGGGCTCGCTTATCCTTGGGCCCTGGATGCCACGCCAGGTGCCAGTCCTTCCTTATCTCTCGCCATGAACGAGGACGGGGCAGTCCCTGGCAGTCACGGTGGTAGAGGCGACGCTCCCGCGGGTTCAGCCTCGCCCATTCTCCTTTCTTTCCTGCCCCTGCGCCTCCTAAGGGAAGCCGTCCCGATCTATACATGGGTGACCCCCACTCCTCTGGACCAGAGAGGGGACCAGCACTCCCACCTGCTCCCCCCCAACCCCCGCGTCCCCAGCTTCGGGAAACTAAGTTTTATAGGAAAGGGCTAGGCGTGTAAGCAGAAGAAAGGAGCACTCTGGCTTTCCTTCCGTTGTCTGCCTTATCCTATCCTCTTTTGTCTTAGAGATCACGCTTTCAGGTAAATAGCCCGGTGCCCGCCACCCTTTCTTCCTAGTCTGGAAGAGGCCCCATCCTGTGCCCTGTGAAGAAATTAGTCCTTGAGCAAATCACCTACTTGAGCCTTTAAATTGGATAACTCCTTGGGGTCGAGAGATGCCAGTAAGATAATAAACCTCTCAGGAACTTTACGGATCCAAAGGAATCACTTCTGAAGGTGGAATTTCAGAGAGGATGGCACAGTGGAGGAGATTTAGGAGACCGGGCTTCTCCAGCAGAGAACACTGTCATCCGTGTGAACTGTTTGCAAAGGCAGCGTGTCTTCCCATGTAAATCCCAGCCCCTAAGCCAGGAACACCTCCCTTAATTCTCAGGAGTATCTCGAGAACTTCAGGATGCTCCAGAGTATAGGAGTAGAGCACCAGGCAAGAGTCCCTGCATAAAAGCATGGGTGTGTGAGTCTTTCTCTCTGCTCTCTCCCCCAAATAGGAGTCTAGTAAAATTAAGGAGAATAGTAGCAAAACAAACAGAAACCCACACTTAGTAGGCTACGCCGTGCCCAGACAAAAATGCGGGTATGTTGGGAGACCCTGAAGCGGGAAATAGATTTGGAGCAGCACCCTGCGACCAAACATGATCTCTGCACTGAAAGATCATTTTCTCTGTCACAGTGCAGTGTGCTTGTTAGTTCTAATCCCTTTTCTTGGGTCTACACTTAGCTGTTTTAGACAGAAATCTTTTAGAACTAGTGAAAACGATTGTGCTCTTTTTGAGGTATGTATACAAATGAAATTTTGCTTGGTTTTTGTCATTTTTTTTAAAACCTTTACATTTGGTGTGTGTGTGTGTGTGTGTGTGTGTGTGTGTGTGTGTGTGTGTGTGTGGCTGTCTTGGGAGGTCAGAAGACAGCTTGCAAGAGTCAGTCTCTCCTTCGGACATGCAGGGTCCGGGGTCAGAGTCAGGCTATCCTTGCTGACAAACCAGCGCTTTGCATGCTGAGGCGTCTTACCTTCCAACTTTCTAGTTTGTTTTTGATGGTACTCCTCAGAGATTTAACATGAGGAAGAAATCTGTCACTATAACATATTAGAGTTTCTCAAATGGGTGTCACGTGCCAAACATAACTAAATGCTTTAAAAACATCCAATTGCAGGAAATGTCTTTATTCCCCATCATTCAGTAAGGAAACTCAGAGTTGGAATGATAAAATTACAGATAGTCAAAAAAAATTCAGAACCAAGTTTCCAACCCAAGCTCCGACATTCTGAGTCATTTTCCTGATTCTACAAATAGCAATCCATAAAGCAGGTTCCAAGGTATTATCTGGTGCAACTGGAGGACTTCACTGAGAGTAAGAGAAGCCCAGAGGAGCCAAGCGTAAGTCAGGACCTCTTGGATAAAGTCACTCCAGAGGATGGCTTCTGATGGAAGCAATGGAATTACAGGGCCCCAACTCTTATGTCATTGTGTCTTTGTAGAGAATTCATTCTAGAGAGTTAAATATGACCAAAGCGAGGAGTAATGAAGGAAGTTTATCAGTGTGTTCGGTTTCCAGTGGAACAGTGTAGGGGACTGCAGAGATGTTGTAATGAACAGCCTTGTCAACAAGATAAGTCCCTTTGGGAGGATCTCTTGAAAATAAGCAGAATCATGGGACTCATGTGTTTATTTCAGTTGTTACAGTCGATCAGATTGGGGAGAACTGCGTAACTTCAATAATTGACCTCAATTAAACATCAGTGGTAATAAATGAACTCCAACTGAAAACCAAAAGTACAGAAGCTTTTGTGTATATATTGTTTATGATTAAATAGATTTCAGTATCCCTGAAGAGTATAAGTTTTCCACTGTAAAAGATAGAGTAACTGACTATCTAGTCTGCTTTTGAAAATGTAAAATGTTGATAAAGTGATTCAGAAAGGATGAAAGATGAGTTTTTAAAGAGGTCACAGAAAAGCAATTTCCTGTAAGCTATTATGACCACATAGCAGTATCTGCTTAGAGTCCTGTACATACTTCTGACATAATGTTTATTGAATGGTATTGTAATTTATCAGTTGGATTCATCTGGGACCCTCTCATGTTTAGCCTCATTGTAAGAACTCAGTATGAGCCAGGTATGGTGGTGCACACCTTTAATCCTAACACTCAGGAGGCAGAGGCAGGCTGATCTCTGTGAGTCATAGTCTAGCCTGGTCTACAGAGTGAGTTCTAGGAGAGCTAAGGTTACACAGAGAAACCCTGTTTGGGGAAAAAAAGAACTCGGTATGAAGTCCATAGTAGTTGAACAAAATGCTGAAAAAATAAGCAAGTGGAAAGGAGTAAATCATGTTATCAAGTGTTGATGGATGGCTTCTTTTATTGTTCATTGGTTTTAGGATATTATATATTCTTACTATAGACAGACTGCTTATCTAGGTTTGCATTAACAATAAAGGAACTATAGCTGGCAAGGAAATATATTATGCCTAGAAGGAGCGGAGGATCAAGAAGAAAGAAGTGTGACCAGGTCCCTCCTCACACACTTCTGCTGTTGTCTGCATGCTGGGACTACTAAAGAAACTTGAACCTCAAACTTTTGTTTGCTAGTTTAGTACATGGAGCCTTGAAAATACAACCAAGAAAATGCTTTCAAGTATGAGACAATAAAAATGATACCAAATTTATTGTCCACTGAAGTGAGCACTTATGGAAAGATAGAGTAGTGAAAGGAAATGCCAGTTCCTCAACTTCCAGAGAGTCATCATTCAGTTAGGCATAACCTGACCTCCCTCTCTCCCAGGGCTATCAAATAAGATTTATGTGCTTTTCACAGAGAAGCACTAGGAGACCAGGAATGCTAGCACAGAGGCTGAGTATTCAAAGAGAGAGATAAAGCTTGTTTTCCACCCCGAATGCTGAGAGAGATGGGTATAAGCTCGATGGCTTTTGCACTATGTGAGGCCGAGACCAAACCAGATCCCCAGGCCTTCTCATGAGCTTGTTTTTTCCTAGTCAATCTGGCCCCATCTTTATGGAATATGTCTTTACAAAGAGCTTCAGTGTAGGCATGTCTTAAGCTTTATTGACACACAGGATTGAGTTAATTATCATCAGGAATTTCTTCCACCGAATTGTACTGTGCTTGAATATGCCTAAACTACTCAAAGTCGGAACCAACACTGGCTACGAAGTTGAGTTAACCAAACTGCCTTTTTATCAATCATGAATCAAACCATCTGCTGGCCATGGTAGTCACAGAGACACCTCCCCCAGATATATGTGAATTTTCTTTTGAAACTTCAAAGATTATTATGGCTATGGCAGTACTTCATGGAGAAATCAAAGAATAAAAAGATTAATGACAGCTAGACTCACTTCCCATTCAGTTTGCATTTAGGGGAAAGTATGAGAGGTATATGACAGATGCTCTGACAAAGTTTAAAACTAATTTGCTGCCCCATATATGATCTGTTCCTTCCCCTGAGATAGAACCCCCAAGAGGATAGCTAGTCTTGATATTTTCTCTGTGGTATGTAGGTCCAAGAAGGCAATCCACCCAGTAAAACACTTATTCCTTATAAGCTATTAAATAGTGGCCTTAAAGTGTCACCTTTTATTTTCTCATTTGGTCTTCATAACACTGAAATGAGTACTGCACTACCTTCCATTTGACTGATAAGAAAATGGAGTGGTAGGGTTGGATGGAGTCAGGCACTAAGTTGGCAATACCTTACATATGTCTTAGCAGTTCATCAGAGGAAAGAATTAGGAATTTACTGATAAAGTGTCCTATGCTTTTTATTTCCATTTTAAATGAACACAATGTTTCACTCGAAGAGTTTTTGGGTTTTCTTTTTTGAGACAGGGTTTCTCTACCATAGTCTTGACTGTTCTGAAACTCTTTAGGCCTGTCAGCCTCTCCTCCTACTCACAGAGACCCACCTGCCTCTGCCTCCCGAGTGCTGGGATTAAAGGCGTACACCACCAACACCCAGCAACTATGGATATTTTTAAGATATCTAAATAAAAATGCCTTGAGGAGAAAGAAACACCAACACAAGAAGTGCCTGTCCTGTCGGGGTGAATCTTGGGCTGAGTCTAAATTTAGTACTATAGTACTCACTGGCCCATTGCTTTCCTCTTTTTCTGAAGGATCCTTGTGCTTCTCCACAGGGGTCATGTGTAGCCCTTCCTGAGAAGAAAACATCTGTGGCCTGTTTTGTTTTGTTTTTGCTTTTTAAGAATAAACACTTGAGGAAAGCCACTGATGATTCCTTTAGGACAGACTGGCCTGAGGTGTCCTCTGGAATCCCCTACTGGCACGAGGCCTCAGACTGGTTCACACGGGAGCTTCCCTTTCTCTTCCCAGAAAAAAATGCAATTGCTTCACTCAGTTACCGCCTTGGCCAGTGTTTTCCAGGGCTTGCTGCATACCAGCCCCTCTGCTTCATAGACTCTCTTATGCCACGCCCACTTCCGAGAAATCAGCCAGCTAGCTCTCTTTTTAGGTGAATAACCTTTTGGGAATTTTTTTTAAGTTTATAATTTTTTTTGTTTTTTCGAGACAGGGTTTCTCCGTATTATTTTGGAGGCTGTCCTGGAACTCGCTCTATAGACCAGGCTGCCCTCGAACTCAGAGATCTGCCTGCCTCTGCCTCCCGAATGCTGGGATTAAAGGCATGCGCCACCAACACCCGGTTAGGTTTTTAAATTTTGTTTATGTGTATGAGCGTATCTGTGTCCTACATGTGTGCCTAGTGCTTATTATGGCAAGAAGAGGGCATCAATCCCCTGGCACTGGGTTATGGATGGTTACGAGCTGCCATGTGGGTGCTGGGAACCAAACCCTGGTCCTCTACCAGAGCAATATTTGCTCTTAACTACTGAGCCATCTCTCCAGTCTCTGTAAATGGTTTTTATATTTAAAAAATCTCCTTCAGTCCAACTTTTACATTTGTATGCATTTCTAAGAGTGACTGTTTTGCTACACATGAAAATCAGATTTCAGTGTACACCGTGGGTTTTGTTGGAATGCAGCCATGATCCCTGCACACACCTGTGGCTGCCCATGGCTGTCTGTGTAATGCCATGGGAGACTGGAGTTCTGCTCAGACTCTGTGGGCTGCAGAGTCTGTTTCCTCTTTGCCCCTCTCAAGGAAAAGCTTGATAAATCCTAACAGTTTCCTGCGGAATGATGGTGTTTAAAAAGGAGGAACAAGAGGAGGGCAGTTGTATCTTGAATATAAATGCTTTAAGAAGAAAGTTAAAATTTCCCAAGGCTTTACTTTCACTGACTATTTACTCCTAAAAACAGTGCTAGTAGACACGAATAGCATGTGTTTTTAAGATAAAATTCCCAGAATCCTATCTGTCTCTTCCCAGACAATACTGCTCATGACAGTTTACAACATAAAGTGTTTCACCCACATTCTGGGTAAGGAAAAGGAAAGGCTTGGCCTGAATACTGCAACTCAGATGGTTGCAGCAACTCTTCAGCCCATCCTTTCCCTTTGTTTAATGCTGCATGTGACAGTGTCCTAATTTTAGATGTGAGACATGTCTCTGGTCTTTCTCAACACAGGAAATGCAATGCATTTTTTAACTGTAGAGTAATTAGATCTCAACGGTGAATGGGATCCATTACTCCTAAAGGCTTTTAGTTATTCCAGCTCCAGTTCATCTTAAAATAACCCAGCTGGTACACAATGGATAGCAGCATACACTTCTCTGAACATTGTTCTAGAAGCTTACAAGGGAGGTACTCCTACTTTCCCTGGAGCCAGGTAACAAAAGTTACTGTATAACTTGTACCTTTTTATGTTTTGGTTTGGTTTTATGTTAGTTTTCTTGAGGTAAGTTCAATTTGACTAATAATAAATTTAAATGTATAGATATATTATCTTAGGTCCTTTTGAAATATTTTATTTCATTATTATTATTTAGTGGTTAGAGACAGGGTTTCTCTGTATAGCTTTGGCTGTCCTGGAACCTGCTCTGTAGACCAGGCTGGCCTTGATCTCAGAGCTCTGCCTCTGCCTCCCAAGCGCTAAGATTAAAGGTGTGCACCACTGCACCTGGCTCATTATTTTTATTTGCTTCAGTCTTTTGCCTGTAGGTGAGTGTGTGCGAAGCATGCATGCAGTGTCTCTAGAGGATGGAAGCAAGCACTGGACCCTCCGGGGTTTGAGTTACAGGGGTTGTGAGCATGGAGGCCAGGAATCAAACTCAGGATTTCTAGCCAAGCATTGTCCAAGACTGTGTGAAAAGTTTCTACAGCCGGATAAGCCTCTCTGCCGATGCTGCAATCCAAATCAGACCAAAGCAAACCGAATTAGAAAAAGCCACCCTGGTATCCAGAGCAAGTTCCAGGACAGCCTCCAAAGCAATACAGAGAAACCCTGTCTCAAAAAACAAAAACAAACAAGAAAGAAGGAAGGAAGCAAGCAAGGAAAGAGAGGAGAGAGAGAGAGAGAGAGAGAGAGAGAGAGAGAGAGAGAGAGAGAGAGAAAGAAAGAAAGAAAGAAAGAAAGAAAGAAAGAAAGAAAAAGAGTGAGACCATGTTTAATGGATACAACGCTCCTGAATGGCCTTCTAGTCCCCCAGAGAGGAGACAGGAAAGAGAGACAGGAAAAGCACGAGTCTGTCTTCTGGGGACAGTTTAAATACCCTGTGGAAGTTGTCTTGAGCATCTCTGGGGGAGGGGTCATCATTTACTGGGCTTCTGAGATGCAGCAGGGTTTGGAAGGAGATTGGTGGAGCTGGGGTGAAGCCTCCACCATAACATCGTGTCCAGTTTTCAGACTACACACCTGACTGCCTGGTCCTCACCTCTGATGCCGTGTACGTATCTGGGCTTTGTCTGCACTTTTTTTTATTAACTTGTAGAACTATTGAACTCTTTTTTAAAATGTGTTTCTGTGTGTGTGCATGCATGCCACAGCACACATGACATAGACCAGTGTGACAGCATGTGCGTGGTGGTCAGAGGACAATTTGCAGAAATCAGTCGTCTCTTACCATGTGGGTTCCAGGGATCAAACTCATGTTTCCCCATTTTGGCAGCAAGCACCTTTATCTGCTAAGCCATCTTACTGGCCCCTTGTAAACCTCAGTAGAGCAACAACTTTGACTTTTAGAAAATCAAAAGCAGGAAAAGCACAAGTTCATGGCTATAGAGGCTAATAAAAGGTGTAAACCAGCAGCAGCTAGAGGGGAAAAACATTTATTTATTTGAGTTTCAAAATAGAGTGTGAACCAGGAAAGAGGTTGGAAGAACATATTGGAATAGTTACTGCTTCTGGGTTTCAAGCAATTTCCCCCTCCTTTTTATCCTTTCTACATGGTTTTGCAGCAGGGTGTGTATGTATTGCATCTGTAATCAGACAAAAGCACTCTATGTGCAGAAGAGGGAGGAAGACCAGCGTTGTTTTTAATAGTAAGAAACCAGACACGGCCCCTTTACTAGTCAGGAAATGGGTAACAGGGTGCAGAGGCAATTTGTATAAAGACTCTGTAGTGGGGTTTGGTGCCTGTGTCGTGGGCTTCGTCGTGAGTCATGCTGCTCCGTGAACTGGAATACCATTTCCTTTGTCTCTGCCTTTTTGTTGTCCTTGCTGTCAGGACGCTGACAGTGGTGGTGGTGGCCCCACTCCACCCTCTCCAGCCTGATGAGTGTCCCTCTCCCTCCTTATCATTTTTAAATCTCCGGAGCGAGCGGATTCTGTCTCTTTGTTCCCGCCTGGTTAGAGCTCTCGTTATTCCTCACCCTATGGGGATCTCGTTAGAAGCTGCACAGTCTCCGTTTTTGCTATTTCGCATCACGAGTCAAAGTAAAAATAAGTGGTATTTGAAACGCATCTGCTTGGTAACTTGATGGTATTGGGAGAAATGAGTAGGTACTCGTATTTCAGGTCTGTGTGAGAATTAGAGCAGAAGCTCGGGTAAAGCAGCCTGGCAGGCACAGAGCTGTTCCGGAGAGGTGGGGCTGAAGCGGCGGTGCCCATCACAGGCTGTGTGGTTTTGTTTCAACAGATAACTCCAAGGCAGAACTGGGACCTTGTGGATGGATTTTGGTGGCGTTCTCATTCTTGGTCATGGTTATCACCTTCCCGCTGTCAGTGTTGATTTGCATAAAGGTAACAGCATTTCTCCCACTTCTGGGACAGGGCCACTTGATCCATGGGACAGAGGGCTACCACACTGGCCTGTGGTTCTTTTTCTTTCATCTCTCTTCTGGAAAACACGTTCTGCTGATGAATTATAGTCTCTATTAAAACTCCTTTCCACCCTGTCCACTCAGTCCTCACAGGCAAAGTGAGGATCACCACGCAACAGTTGTCTGTGTCAGGAGGTGAGATCGTCCCTGCTAGGATGGCAGGGCTGGTGGGCTGGCTGACAGCACCATTGCCGTGTTTCCTCACCTGCACACTGGGGAACGGCAGCCCCTGCTTAGGATGATGGTAGGGATTAAGTGGATGCCTGCTTCAACATCCTGACTGCAGAGCCTGGCTCCCCAACAGTGCTTCCCTACAAAGTCACTGATTCCTACCAAATAACTGTCATTTGCATATTCCCGAAATAGCAAATATGTTGCCGGCATTTTCTGACAAATTTTGTTATAATTAATGGAATCAGAAGAAGAGCTATAAGCTTTTCTGAGCAAACAAAACAAGAATAGTCAGCAGGGATGCTGACGGCTGAGGATGGGTCTGGGGAAGGATCTCCCCTACTTTACTCTGGTCCCCAGCGTTCCTCGACCAGTGTGTGTATCCTGTGTTTGTGGTAGGGACTTCCAGGTAGTGCAGGTTGGCCCAGACTCATCACCCTCCGCCTTCTACTTCTAGAGCCCTGGGATTAGAGGCATGTGTCACAACTCCCAGTGTCTATTGCTTTTATGAGAAGTATAAAAACATGTATATAATAAATAAACACTGTGCTTGGAAAGAGTCAATGCCAGATGGCTGTTTATGGACACTGTCTGGAAATGAAGAAAACGCCAGGAGGCTCTGAACCTGGTCACAGCAGAGACATGTTAAAGAAGCTGTGTCCACAAATGTGTGTGCTCGTCACAGTGACTTCATTCCTGTGCTTATTCCAGATTGTAAAGGAGTACGAGAGAGTCATCATCTTCAGACTGGGTCGCATTTTGCAAGGAGGCGCCAAAGGACCTGGTCAGTGCTAGTAGTTTGGTCTGGAAACTAAAGTGCTGTGGGTTTTAACCTATTTGTGTATATGGTGAGGGGGTCACTATCTGCACAAGAGTGCTGGTGCCCATAGAGGCCAGAGGTATGGGATCCACCGTAGCTGGAATTAGAGAATCTGGGAGTCATCCGGTGTGGGTGACAGGGATGAAACTCAGGTCCTCTGAAAGACCATCAAGTGCTTGTAACTGCTGAGCCCTCTCCACTGATGCGAGCCCCTGGTGAGCCCCCCGTAAGCCCCCGGTGAACCCCCCGTGAGCCCCCGTGAGCCTTTGCTTGCAGCGGAAGCTGTGTAGCAGTCAGTAACCCTGTACAGTCTGAGTTCTACTCTGCTCCTCCCATTACTATCTGCTTAGAGCGATTAGGTTATGGTTGGCCTTGGTCACAGCTGTGGGAGCTGAGCATGAGCATCCCAACCGAGGAAAGACTTCATTGATCAGATGCTGAGCTCGCAGGAGTGTGCCGCCACGCCCAGAAACAGAACACAGTTCCCTAATCAAAGGGCCTGCTGTCCAACAGCCAGACACCAACAAAGAAGCAGAGAGCTGGGCCTGCATTTAGTGTTCTGATACAGTAGCCACAGAACCCTGAAAGAGAATTCACAGAAGACAGAGAGGAGTGACTGACCTGAAGAAATAGCTTTCCCATTGTTTATTACTTATTTTATTTTTAAAATACTTATTTTTATTATTTTAAAATTATAAGTTAGCCAGGTATGGTGGTGCATGCCTTTAATCCCAGCACTTGACAGGCAGAGGCAGGTAGATCTCTGAGTTAAAGGCCAGCCTGGTCTACAGAGCTAGTTCCAGGACAATCAGGCTACACAGGAAAACCCTGTATCAAAAAAACAAAAATAAAATAAAAATAAAAAATAAACAAAAGTATATACTTATATGTGCACATGAGTGCAGGTGCCTTCGGAATCCAGAATAGAGTCAGAGCCCTTGGAGTTGGAGTTACAGGAAGTTGTGAGCTGTCTGTGGGGTCCTGGGAACTGACCTTGGGTCATTTGGGAAGAGCAATAAGCACTCTTAACTACTGAGCCATCTCAGCCCCTCTGGTTTTTTCTGTTTTCTTTTTTGTTTTCCTTTTCTTTTCTTTCTGATGCACTATCTCACAGCCTGACCTGAAACTCTTTCTGTACCATAAGCTGGTTTCAAACTCTCAGCAATCCTCCTGCCTCAGCCTTTCAAGTATTGTAACTATCTGCATGTACAGCTATGGCTGCCCTGTCGAATGCTGAGGTAACTCTGACAGAAATAACATATGCAGAGCCATGTAGGGAGACAGTAGCAGAGTAGAGATGCTGTAGGAACTGTGGCAGCGAGGATGCAGGGCCTGAAGAGAGGGAAGGAGACTGGAGAGGCAGAGTGAGCCCTACATCGTGCAGGACTTGTGGCTCAGGAAAACGGGTCATAGAGAGAAATCTAAGTTCTTAGGTAAGAAGTGAACAAGGGTTGTTAAAAGCAGCTCTCGGGACTGAGTCCCTTAGAACCGATCAAGAGTAAGCTGAAGCTGATGGTGTCTCTCTGATGTTGTGTGTGTTTTACAGGTTTGTTTTTTATCCTGCCGTGCACTGACACCTTCATCAAGGTGGACATGAGGACCATCTCCTTCGACATTCCACCTCAGGAGGTGAGCTGTTCCCATCGTGGCTGAGGGGCTCTCTCTCTCTCTCTCTCTCTCTCTCTCTCTCTCTCTCTCTCTCTCTCTCTCTCTCTCTCTCTCTCTCTCTGTCTCTCTCTCTCTGTCTCTCTCTCCCTCCCTCTCTCTCTCTCTCTCTCTGTCTCTCTCTCTCTCTCTGTCTCTCTCTCTCTCTCTCTCTCACACACACACACACACACACACACACACACACACACACACACACACACACACACGGCCGTGGCTGCCTGACCTGGGAGGCCAGCCCTGACTGCCCTCTCTTTTCCCATCTCTGTGACTGAAATTCTCTGTGTCTCCATGTCCTCAGCTGTAAAGTGGAGGTTGTAATGTGAGGCCAGCTTAGAGGGGGTGTTATAAGGGGTAAGCGAGACCTCGTGGGAACTGTTTAGCACAGTACCTGAGGCTGTTACTGGAAACACGGTAAGATGTCCAAGGACATGGAGTTATCATTGTTGTTCCATGGTTTCTGACAGAAAAAAAATCCAATCTAGTTCAACATTCCAGATAAATTGGTTAGAAGCCAAAGAATTAGAAACGGCTCGTTTTAGGAATCTCTGTGGTCATTCCACGCCTTTTCAGGCTTCTTCACAAACAGCTCACAGTTGGCACTCACAGTCTCTTCCTGGAAGGATGTAGTCACAGTGAGACATCCTCGGAGCCCGGCTCTTCCGAATTCTCTGTTGCTTTCCCCTCAGCTCAGGGCTCACTGCGCTGGGCACCAGCTCTGTCGTGGTCATTTGGTACCCAAATGTTAGGAGACATAATAACCATTGCAGACAGGAGCCCCCAGGCTGCTGAAGGGCTAGCTGTGGGAGCAGGAAGAGCAGTATTCCCTGGGTGATGTCGGAGCCTAGCTTTCTTAGCGTAAGTCACAGAACCCAGATTGGGAACTCCCTTCCTGGTACTGATCCAAGCACTTGGTATGGGTAGACTTCTGAGTCCACACATCTCCAGATTCTCTGCATGTTTCCCTCTTACTCAGGAAGATGGGCTCCCCAGAGGCCCTGGAGGGCTGGGGATTGTGTGGCGTTTTCTTGTGTGAACACTGCAGTCATCTGGCATGTTGCTGGGAACTTCTGCCTTTTGCAGATGTCCAATCCTGAGTGGGTTGGAACTTGGCGAGCAACTCTTTCCCATCCCCTGTGTTCTTGCTGCAAAGGGAGATAAACACTGCCCACAGTAAACAGTGAGCAAAGATACTGCAGCTCCAAATGCAGCTGTGGCAGCCACAGTGGCAAGATCTGGGGACATTCATTTCCCCATCACAGCACAAGAGGTAGTCACACAAGATGTAACGAACCGTACATTCCTTATCAGGTTCCCCACTTCTCCAGCTTAGAGGTATTTTTAGATTACTAAACAAACTGCTGCCTGGCAGGGCCGTGAGGTTGGCTAGCTGTTGCTATTACTTTTCATTGACGTAGCTGGGGTCAGCTTCCTTCACGGCACCTCCTCCCTTGATTGTCATAAAAATATGGATGGGACGAGACACTGCCAGCCTCCCCTTACACATGAGGGGCTGCCAGGTCACACGGCTCACAGCCCGATGTAGCCCACTCAATCCAGGTGCAAACAGGGTCACCTCGGGTTCTGGACCCCACTCCTGCGTGGCTCGTTTTCGAGGACCTCATTTCAGTTCATCTCTCACTTAGGAACCCTCTGCCGTGCGTCAGGCACATTGTCCAATAGAGAAACACAGAGAAACTGCCCCGAAAAAACTCACAGACACCGGGTGGTGGTGCACGCCTTTAATCCCAGCACTCAGGAGGCAGAGGCAGGCGGATCTCTGTGAGTTTGAGAACAGACTGATCTACAGAGTGAGTTCCAGGACAGCTAGGGCTACATAGAGAAACCCTGTCTCAAAAAAAGACAACAACAAAAGAGGAGAAACAGGCATCCACACATTCTAGTCAGCATCTCTGCACAGAGGGCCAGGGGATGTGCACAGGAATTGTGCCTGATGGCGAGAGTCAGGAAGTCCACTGAGGAGGCGTTGAGTGATGGGAAGAAATGACCTGGAGTGGTATAAATAGGAACTTTTATTAAATCTCTGGAGGAATTGACCTTCTGATCCCTTACTCGAGGGTTCATAGAAGGCGTGACAATGAAGAAGCCTTGCTGGTGTGCGATTGCCTTTGTCCTCCTGTAGGTCCTCACCAAAGATTCAGTGACAATCAGTGTGGACGGCGTGGTCTATTACCGTGTTCAGAATGCAACCCTGGCTGTGGCAAATATCACCAATGCAGATTCGGCAACCCGCCTTTTGGCACAAACCACACTGCGGAATGCCCTGGGCACCAAGAACCTGTCTCAGATCCTGTCTGACAGGGAGGAGATTGCACACCACATGCAGGTGAGGAAGGCACCCATGCCAGTTAGCACGGAGAGAAACCAAGCTGAGCCCACGGCCACCAGACAGGGGTGGATCCCTTCTTACTTCTTCAGGGTTCCAGACATGGAAATGTTTCCAGACAAACACCCATGGGTTCGTGGCACTCAGATGCGTGCTATTTTTAAATTCCTTCCGGTGTTTTATTTTTCCCCGGACCCATATTATCCTCATCATAGATCATAACAGTTTGGAGGTTGTTCTGCAAGAACACTGTGAAACTCTGCCTGTGGACAAGTCCACCAATCCCCGCATGCCCTCCATGCTTCCCAGCCTTGACTGGGGTAGATGCTTTGTTTTGGAAAGGCTGTCCCTACAGCTGAGAGTGCCCTGTTACCTGCTCCGTGGCCCAGGCTGGCCGTGCAGTTCTGCTAAGCATTACTGCCACCTCCCTGCTGAAAACAGATGACCTGTGTGACACCTGTGTGGTTCATTCCTGCCCTTCTAAAGAGGGAGTGAAGCACGGCTTACCTGGCGTCACATTAACTCACTCACGTAGACAAACCACTAATGAAGGAAGCTTAGCACTTGGACTGACGGCTGCATTTGTAATAGTGTTTCCCTGGAATACAGTTCAGCTGTTCGCTTGTATATTACCCACACTGCTCTTGACCTGTGAACAGGGCAGAATACTGGAATATTTGTAGTGGAGACTGCAAATAAAACGGTTCCTTAGAAGTCTGCCAACACCTGCAGCAGCTCTTTAGTAATAGAACGGAGCCGTTTCTTCGCTCTCCAGCCCTGCTCAGCCTTCCTGTGGTGCTGTCTCTTTGCCGCTGTCACCAAACCTTATGGACAACACATGCCAGCGGATGCTGCTGCTTTTGGCATCTGGACAGGAGCGTTGGTGCCTCACTTGCTGTCTCTTCTCCTCCCAGAGCACCCTGGATGATGCCACTGACGACTGGGGCATAAAGGTGGAGCGTGTGGAGATAAAGGACGTGAAACTCCCAGTCCAGCTCCAGAGGGCCATGGCTGCAGAGGCAGAAGCTGCCCGGGAGGCAAGAGCCAAGGTACTGTTTCCTGTTTGTTGAAGTTCTGTTCTGTTTTGTTCTAGTTTGATTTCCTTTTAGAATTCTATAGTAATAAAACACTCTCATTGAAAGAGTGAAACAGCCTCGAATGTTTAGTGGCTCCTCTCATCATTTCATCTATGTGAGTGCTGGGAAATGCGAACTCTGGTCCTCATGACTGCAGAAAGCGCTTTATCTGGTGAGCCCTCTTCCCAGTCTATACTTGCATTTTCTTTAACCGGGTTGTTGGGTTATCGGCACAAGTGGATCCACACAACGTAGACCGCCCCATACCTTGGCCTTTTCACTCAGGTCTCAGGAATATTGGTCTGTTATGGTTGTATCCTTCTCAGGGATTGTGAGCCGAAGGCTTTGTTTCCTCGCTTCACTATCAAAGGCAGATGGGCAGGCAGAACACGGCCCGTTGCCCCAGCTTGCTGCCGCCCACCCCTCCCTTGTTGTTAAGGCTTCCAGTCCCTCTCTCTCCCGGGACCTTTTCCTTCACGCTGCTTCTTCTTTCTCCTGTCCCCACAGCTCCCTTTCTGTTCCCTTTTCTTTTCATCTCACTTTTGTCTTTGTCTCAAGCCTACATGGGTGGCCTTTCTGATAGTGCTGAGAAAATACTTGTTAAGCTAACCTCAAAAAAATGTATCTTTTAAGAAGATAATATATCAAAATATGAAGGTATCTCACCAAAGCCAAAGAAAGAGAGGCAGGCCTCTCCAGAGATGAACCCCGGCCTTGTCTCACTCTAAATAAATATCCCATGGCGGAAGATGTCTCACTGCCAAGTTCACAGTATTCCTAAGGAGGCAATGAAAGACAGGCCTCCTGTATAGAAGGGGGATTCTCTCTGGCACAACAGGGTGGAGGCCACACCCCAGCATGACCTCACAGCCCTCCCCCGTGAACATCAAGAGCAGTTTTCACAGGAGGGTTTGCTGTGCCTTTGACAGCTCTCCTAAACACAGGAGCCAGCCAGTCTCTCATCTCCAGAATACAGGAGTAGTTGATGACTCGCTGACTGCAGGGCCCTGTCCATCTCATAGGATACCAGTTCAGACTGGCCGTTATACTCTCTTAGTCAGCCTGTACCAAACAGAGGAGCAGCCTCAGCCAGAGTCTTCATGTCTTTGGGGATGTTCATGGATGCTCGGGATGTTGAAGAAGTCTCAAGGGCTTTCTTACATGTAAAACCATCACTTTCAGGAACTAAAATATCTAAATAAAATTTTACATAAAATATATGTACAGTGTTATTAAAAGTTTCCTCTTACCATTCAGTTATTTGAAAATTAGGAGTTGCTTTTACCTTATTATCTGTCATTAGCTAAAAGCCCATTTTTATACCATGTTGAAAAATAATTTCTCATCCACAGAATATCGAACTTAAAGGATCCAAAGGTGACAATGCCTTGCCCTCAACCTGAGCCTTCTAGTCCCATGTCAGTAATTAGCAGCAGCGCTGCTCCCCTGAGCTTAGACTCCTTATGAGAATCCTTTGGCACACTCCAGATAACAACCCCAACTGGTTGGAGTCAGGCCTCAAAAAACTTGTTTGCCACCCTAGTTGGTGAACACTGCAGCCCGGAAGAGCAGAGTGAGTTCCTCAAGGTCCCACACTTGATAAGTGATGGGAACTCTCTACTCCCCTCTTTCCCTTCCCTCCTCCTCTGGGACTCCCACCATGGGCCTTCCATGGCCTTCTCAACAGTCTCTGCCGTCCTTCATAACGAGGAAAAGATAAAGGAAGCCAGTTAGAACTCTGACTACCAGCTGTCCCTTAGATGAAGCTATCAGGTTAGCCTGACAACTGTGACACGAACCTGTCCTCAAGGCTGGGCCTACTTCTGAAAAGTACACTAGTGACATACGTAACTCTGTAATAGCTGTGACTTTGCCTGCCCTCAAGCTCTCATGGGAGACAGAAGGCACCGCCTCTTCAGTAGCAGTTTCCAGAAGAGAGAGTTCAGATGTGAGAGGACCCATAGATACAGACTCCAGGATGAAAGCCCTCAAGTTAATTAGCCTCAGGGAAACTCATAGTCAAGTCACAGGCAGATGCCTCCCTAGATATCCATCAGGATGGCTTGAAAACACAGCGAGAGAGGAATCAGGAGTGGGGAGGCAGGAGCTGGAACCCTTGTGTTGTGCTGTGGGAATGAATGCCTGTTGGTACCGTCACTCTGGAAGGAGTTTAGCTGGATGTTTGCAGAGCCTGCAGCCAGTAGCTGCCCTCCTCAGCGCGTATCTTACAGATGCATGCTCATGTTTACCAGGGGTGTGCCATAGCGACACTTCACCCCAACCTGGAAACTCTCCAAGTACCCATCCTGAGTCAGACGGATAAAGGCGTGGCTGTTCACAGGTAGTAACATACGGAGCAAAAATGAATGAAGAGCTGCTCCCAGGCATAATTTGAGAGAAGGAAGCCACTCAAAGGTGTCCGCACAGGAAGACACGCAACAGATTCTCTAGCCATGCTACTAAATGCCACCTAAATCTCATTTTAACATGTGCAGACCATAGGTTCAGTCTCCAGCACAACAGAACAAATGATAAGATAAATGTTGCAAATGAAGTGTTGATTTACATGGGATTGCTGTACATTTGGCCAGAGACCCCATCAGACTCAAGGAGCTTGCTCTGCTCTGAGATGCTGTACACACGTGTTCATGTCTGTATCTAGACAAAGCCTGCAGCATCATGGTCCTATCCTTGGTAGCTTGCTCAGAGTAGCTTTTTGATGAACGAAATGTGTACCCATCATAGTGGGTCTGGATTCCTGGCCAATAAATTGTTTATTGATTGGAGGTGGGAATATCTGTGGTCCATGCCCAGACTAAAATGTGCCTGATTGGATGTATGAGAAGACACGAAAGAAAGTCTGACCCCCCACTCCTAGTGGGGTGTATTTGTGCATTCTCCAGGGGTTGCCTCAGAACCCCATTGCCCAGTTCTCTGAGATATATCTGGAGCTCGCCCGTCATCTCATAGTCCAAGGTGGGACATGATAGTTTGTTTCAGTAAACTGAAGGTTTAATCCTATAAATTGGATCATTTCTTCAGTGAGTGCAGCATTTGGTGTCCCCTATCTATTTAATTATACTGTTCATGCAACCAGAATTTGGAAACTTGGGACTCAGATCCTGACTTTTCCCCTTCTATACCCATCAGTCTCAATAGGCGGAGGCAGGGGGATCTCTGTGAGTTTGAAGCCAGATTGGTCTACATAGTGAGTACCAGGCCAGCCAGAGCTACATAGTGAGATCCTGTCCCGAAAACCAGAAACCATATGTATGTATGCGTCAGGTTGGGCTTGTTCCTTACTGGTCTTCTCAGTCTCCACTCATCCAGCACTGGCTTCCCCGGCTCTGTCTGCCTCACGGTGATGCCAGGAAATGTGAATCCCATTTCAAGAGGAGTGGGTTAGCTGCTTTTCTATTGCTGTATTGACACACCATGACCAAGGCAACTTATTTTTATCGTCCTACGGAATTGTGCCTAGGATGGGCTAGAATGAAGTCTTCCTGTAGATATGAAGAGGGCTCTGAAGTGTTTCAGACTTTCTCCTAAGTGAGTCCTCTCCTAGATACTCTCCTCTGAAGGAGAGTGAGGGGTCAGTCACGTGTGTGAGGATGGTTTGCACCTGCTACTGTAGAGCTGAGAAACCTTACTGATATGAACAGATGGAGCTTTGGTTGTTACCATGCACTTCCTAGCACGCGCACAAGTTAGCGTCCTGAAACTCACACCGCCGTCTTTTATCAAAGAAGATCTGCTAGGTTTTGGTTCAATAGTCTTCCTGTCTTTGATTTCCACCTGACGTGCAGTCAGTTGCTCACCGCTTTGCTGTGCACTGTTCAAAGCCCTGTTCAGTACGATTGGGAGTCCCTGCTCAATGGGAGGCAGGCAGCAATAACAGAAAATGCCTTGAGCCAGACACATCTTAAGGAATTCAGTTTCAAGAGAAAGACCATCTGGCATTGAGTGTCTAGGAGTTGGTGGATTCCTGGGAAGTCCCGTATGTTGCCTGAGGCATGTGAACCAGACGCAAAGCACCATGCTGTTTGCCAACTTCCCTCTGCTTCCCCTCTTTAGGTGATTGCAGCTGAGGGGGAAATGAATGCGTCCAGAGCCCTGAAAGAGGCTTCCATAGTCATCACCGAGTCTCCGGCTGCCCTTCAGCTCCGGTACCTTCAAACCCTGACCACTATCGCTGCGGAGAAAAACTCCACCATTGTCTTTCCTCTGCCCATCGATATGTTGCAGGGCCTCATGGGTTCTAAATAGAACAAGTAGTGCTGTAGAGCTGTGCTGAATCCCTCCCAGGGTAAAGTGGGGACCAAGTTAGCCTTTCACTGGCAGGGAGATTAGCAGGAAGCTTGACTGACCCCATCCCTCCCTGTTTCCACATATAGAGTGAGGTGCTCTTAGAAGGGACAGGAGTCCCAAGAGCAGCTGAGAGACTCGCTTTGGAGCTAGGAATAGAGCACTTGCTTAACATGCCCAAGACTCTGGATTTCACTGGCTTGTAAATACCAAGAGAGCTGGTGATTTATGCACGATAGATAATCATACTCTTTACCTACATCTGTGTCTTTATTCTGTGGTAGACTGGAGCCCCCTTCTAACCTTAAGTCGTTCTGAGCCCTATGTGAGCAGTCAAGCCAGGGCAATGGGCATAGCCTAGACATGCCACCTACCCCACTGGGCAAATGCCACCTACCCCACTGGGCAAACGCTCTGCGTAGTGAAGACTTGTGTCACCCTCTTCTCTGGGCCACCTGTGCCTTCCCTTCAGGGACTCTTACAGGAAGGATGCTTCCCTAGTGTCCATCCACCCAACCCAAGCCCAAACTGTGTTTTACAATATCCTCTCCTCTTTCGTGACCCTGTCAGAGCCCGAGAAAATGGTCAGAGTCAATGAAGAGGCTCGGCTGGCCCTCCCGGGACCGCACTTCCCCACCGTGGGGTCCTTTTGAAAATAGAATGTGCAGTTTTACAAACCCTTCGGGCCCCCACCCACCCCCACTTTCTGTGTCGCCTTTAAAAGCAGCTAAATTCTTGTCACGGAAGTGCTTTTTCTCACTTTTGCCTATTTCATGTATCTGGTTTTTAAATCATTTTGATTTTTAAAGATAACTTTCTACCTTCTATAAATAATTGTTATATGCCCATTTGAATAACTTAAATACCAAAGTACTTTTTTAAAAATCTTAAGAAAGCCATTATATTTTGCTGTCTGCACACTATTAACTATTATGTACTGTGAAATATTGTGATTACTAATCCTACTTGTGTAGTTCAAGAAATTCCTAGCACATGGGGCATGCCATCCCTGAGCTCCCAGTGCAGAGGGAGAACACTTATGTGTGACTAGATTTTTTTGTTGTTTTTGTACAAAACATTGATGCCAGCAGAGGAAGTGGTCAGTCCCTCTGGACCAGTTTCTTATTGTGACGTCTTCCCCTTGACCTGGGAGTCTTGCAGCATCTTTGAGGTTTTGATTCACTGGAGAAGCCTGGCAGCATGGCTCCCTGTGGCGGGAGCATCCCGGTTCACACCACCATAGCTGTGCACCGCGAGGCCCACGTGGAGCCTCCCTCCCTCGCACCCCGATTCTGAGCCTTGGACCCAGCTGGGTTTTCTAGAGGTGTATGGAGTATTTCCACCCAGGACTCAAGTTGCATTTACATTTTGAACTTAAAATGGTGGCTTCATCTGTTTGGACAAAGCAACTTGCCCTCCACTAAGGACCAAGAAAACCCGTGTCCTTGTGAAAACACTTTCTCAGAGGTGGAAAATGTATGCTACACTTGTTCTCTAAATTTCTCCCTCCAGACACCAACCAGCCTTTGCTTCTGTGCTAGTGAATTAGTAATCCAGTAGGCTGAAATCAAAGTGAGGGGTGGAGAAAATTGAGCTTTGGGAAATGGGGATGGTGTGAGGCTTTTCACAAGTCCTCACCTTAGCCGTGTACAATAAAGTGTGTGCCCTGTAACCACTTTTCCTCTGAGAGACTCTTGTTTACCTCGGCACTGTTGCTTTGAAGAATTTCACTTGACTTTGCATTTATACTTGAGGGACCCTTAAATCTTAACTTCAGCTTTAGGTTCTCAAGCCTTACTGATTCAGGGCAAAGAGAGGAGTTGGTTCACAACACAGCCCAAATAGAAAACAGAAAACACAAAACACAGGGTTATAGTACTTTCAGCTACATTGTTTCTTGTGAATCCCCACATTGTCCATCTCCCCACACCTGGCTTCCACCCTGAGAGTCCCCACACCTGGGTATCCTCCCTGAGAGTCCCCACACCTGGGTATCCTCCCTGAGAGTCCCCACACCTGGCTTCCACCCTGAGAGTCCCCACATCTGGCTTCCACCCTGAGAGTCCCCACACCTGGGTATCCTCCCTGAGAGTCCCCACATCTGGGTATCCTCCCTGAGAGTCCCCACACCTGGGTATCCTCCCTGAGAGTCCCCACATCTGGGTATCCTCCCTGAGAGTCCCCACACCTGGGTATCCTCCCTGAGAGTCCCCACACCTGGGTATCCTCCCTGAGAGTCCCCACACCTGGGTATCCTCCCTGAGAGTCCCCACACCTGGGTATCCTCCCTGAGAGTCCCCACACCTGGGTATCCTCCCTGAGAGTCCCCACACCTGGGTATCCTCCCTGAGAGTCCCCACACCTGGGTATCCTCCCTGTGAGTCCTCACACCTGGCTTCCACCCTGAGAGTCCCCACACCTGGGTATCCATCCTGTGAGTCCCCACACCTGGGTATCCTCCCTGAGAGTCCCCACACCTGGGTATCCTCCCTGAGAGTCCCCACACCTGGGTATCCTCCCTGAGAGTCCCCACACCGTCTTCTCATGCCTGGCCACAACTTTTCAGCGGCAAACCTTTTTTATTTCTTCCTGGTGTGTCCACATCCATGGCACTTAGTACTTCAGTGAGAACGGGGAGGCTGTTAATTGGCTGCAGAAGGTGGCATCAACTCAGCCTCTCCACTCAGCTGTGCTTCTTATCATTGGGTTTTCTCACCACTTAAATGGGGCTCGAGTCCTGTTTGTAAGATCACAGAAGTGCCTCATAGGATTCTACAGATTCCCAGCTCGAAAATCGTGCAGCTGAGGGTTGCTCCCCCTGCACCATCCACTCTGCCCCATGACCTTGGATGGCTCCTATCCTCTGTCCTTTTGAGAGTGTGTTAGAAGCTGCAGAGCATCTTTGGAAACTCAGGCATGGGGGAGCACAAACTTGTACACTTAAGGAGGGAACACTGATCCAGCTGTCCTCGGATCTCCACAGGGCTGCCAAGCCATGCACGTGCACCCCCCACACACAAAACATATTTTTAAAGATTCTTGGGTAGCGCAAAGGTTAGAATTTGCTCCTCTTGCAAAGAAACCTGGGCTCCCTTCCAGCACCCACCTAGTCATGGAGCGTTCACCATAGATGACCACTCAGGCATAATTCATAACCAGTTGAAAGTCTAGCTGTTTGGGACAGGTATTTGGGGACCCAGATGTATCGCTGAGTGTCCAGAGCATGAGGTTTCTGAAGGCAGAAACCACATTCTGGCTGGGTGTTGGTGGTGCACACCTTTAATCCCAGCACTCAGGAGGCAGAGGCAGGCAGATCTCTGTGAGTTCGAGGCCAGCCTGGTCTACAGAGCGAGTTCCAGCACAGCCTCCAAAACAATACAGAGAAACCCTGTCTCGGAAAAAAAGAAAAAAAAAAGAAAAGGAAAGCAAAAAGAAACCCCATTCTGGCAGCCTGCCCAGGCTTCAGGGGGCAGGATTCGCAGAAACAAGCAATTGGACTGAAACTAACATGTAGCTGGGGAGGATCTGCACAGGCAGGCAGCCGACCCCACACTAAAATAACTTAGCTGGGACGTCCGGCCTTGGCTTCTTAGACGAGAGCTGGGTAATGTCCATGGGATTCTCCATCAAGGAGACCAGATTCTAGTTACAGCTGAAATGGCCTCAGCAAAACTACAAGATGAGGGAGCTTTGCAGTCTGACGTGTCATGACAGGCAACTCCCAGCCAGCAGCATCTCAGTTCTAGGGGACCCAACACTCTCTCACTTCCTTAGGCACCAGGCCTGCATGTACACACAGACAAATGCTCAAAAATGCAAGTAAGCAAATCCTTAAGATGTTTCTGGGGGAGGGAGAAACAGGTTGGAAGCTGAACCCTCTGGGAATGACTATACACCACAAAGCAGCAGGAGTTTACTGTTAAGGTTTTTATTTTAGCATCTGGCCCCCCAAAAAGTCAACAAAATTGCCATCCGCTGTGTCAACTTGCCTCAGAACCCCTGCCTTGTTCCCTGGGCTTCCACTAAGAATGGTCAGGAGAGGAGAAATTCACCCCGCAACCAGATGGACCCACTGACTATGGTCTGGCCAGGAAAGGGCATGAGGATTCCCGAGAACTGAAGAGAGCTTTTCTGTGGCCTTGGAAGCAGCTCCTTCCCTCTCCAGGGAAGCATTTGCAAACAGCGAATTTGTCTTTTCCTCAGCTTGCCAATGCATAGCTGAGAGCCAACTGCCTGTACACACTTCACCACCTTTCTGATGCTCAAAGCCAACAGAGCCGGTAGGAAACCTAGACCCGTAATGGCTTGAGTCAGACACCATAGGCTCTAGACTCTGGACTCTCACAGATGCTCCTGGGGCAGCATGGTTTGGGCTGGTTCTCCATCCACTTCAACCCAGCACAAAGCAGGCTTACTCCCACAATGCACTAGGATCTGTACATGTAATTTTCTACCACTTAGAAGGAATCCCACACTGAGTTAAGCCAGACCCACGGATTTCAGGGAAGTAAACTGGCTTTGTCCACAGCAACCTCAGTCTCCCTGAAGGGAAGGCCCTGTTGTATGACACTGACCCTGGCGAGGTGTGAACCAGCTTCCACTCTCCCAGATAGAGCACCAGCTCTTCAGGAGACCACCAAAGTTCAGCTTAATGAACCAAGTGGGTTTACCGGGGTCACTAACAAGAGCAGAAATGACCTGGAGATAGCTGCATCACAAGCGCTCACTCCAGCATGGGTGACAGTGCAGAAAGCCGGGAACCAGGAGCTCATGGAGCTGTCTCTTCCAGGCTTGGAATATTGAGCGTCTCTGGGGCAGCCTGGCTTCTCTGCGTATGTCTCCCAGCAGTCCTTAGCAGCTTGCATAAACTTGGGCAGGGAGAGCCCTAATAGATCTGAAGCTCTTGTGTTGTCTGGAGCTTAATGGGTGTGGCTCCGTGAGTTTCCCTCCAAGATAAACTGTTTTATCTCTGGGAGAAAACTGCTCCCAGGCCCTAGGAGCAGTCTTCCCTTCTGCTAAGAATTTTAGGGTGTTACCTTTGCTTTTACTACCAAGAGCCACCCTTTGGAGGTAAGCAAGGCAGGCATAGGGGGATGTCCAAGCCCCGCCCACTGCTTGCTCCCAAGCTGCTCCACCACGTCTGCCGAGTGCACCCCTCTCTCCCCAGCACCCCACCTTTGTTTCTGCCAGACCCGTGCTTTCGATGACCTGCCTTCATCTCTAGCCCATCTCTTCTTCCACTTGGAAAATTCCTCCTGTTGCCCTCATTGCTCTGGCAGTGACTCAGAACCTCCGGAGACAAGGCCCCATGGGAGCCATGCCTCTAAAAAGCTCCCTGGACAGTTTCTGGGCCCAGCCAGAGTTGGAAACTGTGTAAATACAACTCTCATAGGCTTCCTGCCATCCAAACCTCACCCTGGGCTCTGTTCTGTAGCTCCCCTCCCCACCAAGTTCCATTCTATAGCGTGGAGTGGCATGGACCAAGACAGGAAAACGTGGCCAGAAGAATCCAGAAGGAAAGAGGGGAGGAGACAGGCTCTGCCCTTGAGTCCCTTGCACTGGTCTGGCACCTCCAGTTCGTGGGAGTGCCCAAGAGGGAGTTTTGATGCTCTGAACACCAGTAGATTCTTGCCTACAGGGACTACACTGGACACCAAGGAATACCTCTCCTGTGTTCCAAAGACGACAAATCCGGGAGCCTCTCTGCCTACGGCAGTTGCCAGGGCAGAGATCTCACCAAAGAGTGTTTTGAGTAATAGAATGAACAGAAGGGAGCAGCCATAGGAAACAGGTACTTGCAGACGCCACAGGAGGTGTCTCTACGACAGTACACCTTGACCACTTCCTACGCTGTCAAGGCCAAGCCCCCTCCTGACGACAGTGCACAGGATCAGGGAGGCAAAAGTCACATGCTCTCAGGTGATATACAACTCATTTGACAGCTGGCTCAGAATGCCCTGCATTCACAGCAGCATTGTACACAATAGTCAAAAGGTGGAATAATCCAACCACCCAAGGTGGATGAATGGATAAATAACATGACTTATGTACCTACAATGGAATAGTATTCACCCACCAATGTAGATCAAAGGTTGCTTTTGAAAGCATAATTCTAAGTCAATAAACCAGACACGGACAATAAATACTGCATGACTCCTCTTAGGTGAGGTATGCAGAATAGGCGAATTTATTGAGGCCAAAAGAATAGAGATTTCCCAGGGTGATGGAAAGAGAGGTGGGGGACTTATTATTTAATAAGAAGCACTTAGAAGCAAGGGGTAGTAGTGCACACCTTTAATCCCAGCACTTGGGAAGCAGAGGCAAGTGGATCATTGTGAGTTTGAGGCCAGGCTGGTCTTCAGAGCTAGTTCCAGGTCAGCCGGGGCTACACAGAGGAATCTGTCTTGAAAACACAGTATTACTATAATTTGTTATTATCATTGGGCACTTAGGCTTGGATTGAGCTGGAGAGACGACAGGTCAACTGCTAAGAGTACTGGCTGCTCTTCGAGAGGACCCAGGTTAGATCCCCAGCGCCCAGAGGGCAGCTCCTAAGTGTCTGCAATTCCAGTTCCAGGAGCTACATTTACCTTTTCTCACCTGCTCGGGCACTGCACACACACGGTGCACATATATACACACAGGCAAACACTCTTTAAAAATGTTTTTAAA